CCCACTTGGAGGCATATTTTTCAGCGCCAAAAAATCGTCTTAAACGCCGGCAAATACAGTATCTTATCTTAGGAGTTTATTGTGAAGATGAAAAGTTATCTATTTTAGGGCTTAGCAGAGTGACTATAGTATAATACACTGGCAAATGTTAAATGTTGCTGCATCATCATCATTATTATTAGGAATTGCATGCAGCCCAAATTATATACCTTTAATTATTGCATTTAATTTTATAGCTCCTCAGCATCAAATTCAATGCAATCTTTGGGAGAAAGAGCAAGTTGTCAATCGTTTCATGGTTTTTTCAACATAGTTTCTCTAATGCAATTTGGGTACATTAATTCTACAGGGGCTATAAATAGAATCAATTCTGATTTTGCTAAAGTCTTTGAAAACAGCGTTATATTCTACTGAGCGAAATGCTTATCTTACAGTAAACAAATAGGGAGCATTCTGAAATCCAATACTTGCTACGTTTTTTTGATTAGCAAGCAGAAGGAATGGGTGCAATCAATACCTGGACTCCCTGAGCAAAATTTATTTATTTCCTTTGTGAAAATCTTTCTTGATACATATGCTATCAAGAAAGATTTTTGATATGCTTGCTTCTCTCTCTGTTACCATTGATCTCTCTAGTTGTCTTGACTTGCGGCCACCCTAGTCCAACTCATGATCAACTCTTTGCTGGACCATTTTAATCTACCACTTTTGCCTTCTCATCCCTCACCCCACATACAGCCCATTCTCTCCACAGCAGTGATCTTTAAAAATTGTATATCTCATCAGGCCAGTACTCTGCTGAAAACCTCCAGCAGTTTTCTGTCACAGAACAAAATGCGAACGCCTCCATGGTTTAGGAAGCCCTGCTGAGCTGGCCCCTTTCTACCTCTCCAACCCATCTCCGACTGCCCACTCTCTGTCCCTGTTGCTCCCAAAGCACAAATTAGCATCTGTGCTGTGAGCACGTGCACACCATTCTCCATTCAGGGTGATTTGCTCTGGCTGTTCCTTCTGCACAGAACACTCTTTCCATATTTCTTCACGATTGGCCTTTTATCATGTATATCTCCATTCACGTATCACCTCTTTAAAGAAGATTCTCTGTCCTCCTAAATAAGGAGTTCTGTCCTCTCCCAGTCATTAGTTTTATTTCATTCATAACATTTATCCTTTGCTCAAATAGTCTTGATTGTTTCTATGTTTTTCTGTCTTGTTGTTACAACACAATGTAGTGACTTTTATATACTGCATATGAAACTCAGATGCCTTCTTTACGCCTTTATCTACAGTGTATAGGAGTAGGAGCTCACTAAATTTAATAGAGAGAATAAATAAATTCCAATTCCTATATTTTTGTAGCTGATATAGTTAAAATCTCAATAGGCCAGAATGACTTTAAACTGTCACACAGTTTTTCCCCTAGTTACCTAAAGGAATTATTTTATTTGTCATTTATTTCTTCACTCCTTAAATCACTCAGCCAATAAATCATTTATTTCTTTATTGCACTCTATAATCTAACTTTGCATAAAGTATCCAATTTGTCTCTATATTTACCCAATTATTCTCTATACATTTGACAATGTATATTATATAAAAAACACAAATTAGAATAATCTCAAAGAATATAAAAATTACCAGCTCATTTGATGCCTGATAACAGAGGAGTGAAGGTTTCTTTTCCTGGAAAAGACTATTGAAATATACCACTTTAAAAATATTAAATTATATATTCATAGATATTTAGAGAAACATCCCTTGGGAAAATATAAATGAAATTCAAGACTACAAACATGGATAGCTGAAATGAATTTGGATATTGAGAGGTTATCTCAATGAAATTGAAGATGTGCTTCTAAGGGCAAGTAATTGAAGACGAGTAAAGATATAGGGAGAACAAAGTAAATGAAATTACAGAACTCAGGAAGTCTACACAGACTTTGACCATATTATTTTTAATCTACCACTACAGGTAACTCAATGGAATCATCTAGAACTATACAGTGTGATAAGGGTAGAGGAGAGAGCTATGGGGGACTGAGAAATATAAAGTTTTTGGGAAGGACATGTTCTCTTCTGTGGGGGAAAATTTATATTTATATATATATATTTCTTGAGTACCTATTATGTTCCAGGTATTGTGTCAATTGCTTTACATTCATTATCACTTTATTTAACAATCATAATATCCTGGTAAGTAAGTACTATTATCACTCTACTTTAGATGCGGGCATGGAAGCAGAGAGGTTATTTGATCTGTATCAGGTCAGAGAGCAGTAAATGACAGATCCTGAACTCAACTTGAGCTTAAGTCTGAAGCCTATCTATTGAACACATAAAAACACTATCCTGTTGATCTTATCACATTTAAGTGGGTCACTGCTGCTTTTCCATAATTGGATGTGTGATGCTAGGAGCTAGAGAATATTTTTTTTTAAGGTTCGTTACTGTTATTACTACCTTAACTCTAAAAGTAAAGGGTTTCTTTAAAAACTAAACTCCTTTTATTTCTAGATCAAAACCTTGAAAGATCCTCAGTGAAATACCGAATAAATTACGGTATCTCCACGCTCCAAACATTTTGAAACATTAAAACAAGTGAGTTCTAGCTTTATGGATTGCCCTGGAAGGATGCCCATAATGCACTGTTAGGTGAAAACAGCAACCTGCAGAGGTGTGCGATCCCCATTTGGTATATGAATGTACATAGGAACATGGAAAGATGTAGTCCATATTCTCAACAATGGGTGGGAAATCAAAGTTGGGTGGCAAATCTATTTTTAATTTCATTTTAGAGTATGATTTATTATAATAAGCCTGGGTTACTTTTGTAATTAATAATGAGTTTGGAGTAAATTTCTCAAAGTTATTTATTTCTAAATATTATCTTCTTATAAGTTTGAACAGCTTTCTCAGAAGAACTTGTTTCTAATCGTAACCCTTTCTTCCTTCCACCAAAGTACCCCTTTTATTATTTGTTTTACACATTGAACTTCCAGTTAAGATTTCCACTGAATGAAAGATTCCCTAGCTAGAAAAAAAATTGAAAACCATTGGTCCATATCATCTGATTCAATGACAACTATTACATATGGGCATACTCTCTCTACATGTACACTCATAAGATTATGTGTATTACAAATGTAAGTATTTTATTCATGAGACATTCCAGACTGCTCTTTATTATATTAAGAGCCATACACATACAATTTGAAAATCAAATATGAACTAAGCTCAATTTATTTAGCTTGAATGACCATTCCATTGATGGCACACAGGGAGAGAATAGTAATCTGCAGTTCAGAGCTTCGGTAATGAAATCACCAGATTACTTAAGAGTATATTCATTTGGTGTTCAGACACCTTGAAAGAAAAATACTAGGCAATGATTTAAAACATTATCCTATAGCTCAAAAGGGCTCTCATGTAGCTGAAAATTGACAGAGCTAGAAAGTATGTCTTAACCAAACCTGAACTATCTTTTATTGGGTTGTCGGAAAAGTCAAGAAGCATTTTTGCAACGAAAAACAGAAAACATATGTCATGACTTTTCTGACAACCCAAGAGTTAGGAAGTACATACAGAACAAGTACATAAGCTTTCTCCCCAGGCTTTATCACAGTAATCAGGTGACAGCTTAGCTCAGTCTTCTGATTAAAACCCTAACATGAATCCCACAAAGGTGAAGAATCATTACTATCGGTACTCCAGGGGCAATGTTAGATTAATCAACTGCATGCATTCCACTCCAAAATCTGGGCTAATATATAACAACGCTGTGGTTAGCATAGTTCATGGCAAATTAAATCAAATTTAACTAACATTTACTGAGTATTCTTTAAAGTTCAATGGACTCTATAGGTTTTGCAAAGCCCACAAAGATAGGAGGAGCACAAGTTCTGCTCTCTAGGAACTTAAAATGTAGTGAGGAAGAGACACACAAAACTAGCTCTGATATAAAGCACAATATGATAAAGACTATATGTAACACCAGTAAAAATATAAAGTATAGAGGGTACATAGTAGGAATTGCTCATATTTAATTCTGGTTTGAGTAGTGAGAGGGCTTCTGGGAAGAGAGGACATTTTAACTGAGGCTTGATGGTAAAATAAGCTTTCATTACCAGCATACAGCATCTTTATTTTATATTTAATTAAATATTTTTTATTTAATTAAAACAAGGCAGGATTTTTAAGATCTGTAATTACCAGAGGGCTAGAGGGGTTGGAGGGTGGTGGTAAATGAGGATAAAAGGGATCAAATATATGGTGATGGAAGGAGAACTGCCTCTGGGTGGTGAATACACAATGTGGTATATAGATGACGTATTACAGAATTGTACACCTGAAACCTATGTAACTTTACTAACCAATGTCATCCCAATAAACTTTAATTTAAAAAAAAAAAAGATCTGTAATTTGAAACACACGTCTTAGCATTAGATTATGTAGTCAGTTTTTGGGGAGTAGTCATGAACTTTTTAGTGAAATCAAGGAAATCAAAGGAAATCACAAGTTAAGCTGCCTGGTTAGGGAACATGGGAGTCAGCATAAAGATAATATTGTCCTAGGACAGAGGTGGAACTGGGGAAGGAACTCCAAAGACTGATCTCCAGAGGGCATTGCTGGGTGATCTATCAACACCAACTGGAGAGTTTCAGTATCTCCACTTTTCCTGAATCACAGTCCTGAGAACACATTTCTTCAAATGCAAGATTAACATATGAATAAATATATTTCCTTTGAACAAATATAAGCATCCAAATATACCTCTGCTCTTGTCAGAGGAAACTCTCTAGCATTTAGCTCATTTGCAGAACAAACACAACATCCAATCCCAAAGATTCAGCACCTCTTTCAGTTAACCAGTCTCCTGGCTCAGCCTATGAGCTCCATCTATTCCTCTAGACTGGAGGACTGAGACCCACAGTTTCATAGATGGCTGCATGAGAATCATCACTGATCGACACGGCATGAGCTGAGGTGCGTTTGAAACCTACCATTCTGACGCCATTTTCAAAGGCTTGCCGAGTGAGTGGAGCTGGTCCATCTACAGTCTTGCCATCATCATCTGGGCCCCAGCTCGCACTGTAGATGTGCACATGCTGAGGGTTGAAGCTAACTGATTTTGCTTCGACCATGTCCGTGACATCTCCATCCAGCATTCGAACTCCTTCAAGAAATAAGGGAAGTAGCTTCATTACAGGCTTCGCTTATATGACTCCCAAACAAATCAACGCTTGCTGCAGTTATGCATTTCGGGGGGAAATAATAAACTTAATCAACACTTAAGTAAGCATATTTTCCCCAGAAAAAGATAGTGAAGACTTTTCTGAAGCTTTCTAGGGCAGAAAGAAAGTTACATTGCAGGCAACTATTGTTCTCTTTTTCTAAATTTCCACAATCTCTCCCTTCTCTTTATCCCTGTCTTAAGTGAGTAGTTGACAGACAGCCTCAAGCAATCCATCTCCCCTAAATTTCTCTTCATTAGATCACTTGTGTTCATAATTGATATAAAACATTCTGACCTTAAGAGTCTTACAAAACTTGGAAAGCTGCCAAGTTGGTTGGTCTAATTTCCTCCATATTTAATGTTATCTCCTAATCTGTAAGACTGATGTGAACTTAATACATTACTTCTTTGCCAAATTATTTATAAGTCAAGTAATAAATGAGAATGCTTTCTGTGCATGTAACACATCAAATAATTCTCAAAGGGATTAAACAATGTTTAGTCATTAATCTTCATTTAAGTATATTCCCACCAGACAGACAGGAATTTATTATTAACCATAATTTGCAAAAATAGACACAATACTCAAAAATAAATGATAAATCAAATGCTAGGCTTTCCTTTTTTTTTCCTTTTATTTTGGAGAGGCACAGCAACAACTAATTGTTAAGTAACAACTCCTTCAGCTTAAGCTAAATACCATCACTGAGCACTGTACTATTTTTAAAATATATCTCTACGGCCCAAATATACTCTTCTGGAAAACACTGTTATCTAGTAGGATTCCAAGTTCTTATTGATTACCAGTAAATGGAGATTAAATAATAAAACACCAAATCAGGTAGCTTTAGATACTATGTGGTTTGAGGTGGGACTCTGGTAGAAATAAAAATATTCTTTAAGAAACTATATCTTCTTTGTGCTTTAAAAAGTGCTTAACTTTTAACTACAAAAGCTATAAACACAGAAAAACAGAATAACAATGAATACTGATGCAGCCAGTACTCAACAACTGTTAATATTTGCCACATTTTCTTTATCTAAAAATGTAAATATTGGTCTGAACCATTTTAACCCTTGGTCAGGAGCAACTGATCTCACAGATTCATTGTACACAAATTTTCAAATATCTAACAGTTAACTTAAGTATTGTGCATCATTGCTTCCATTTCTTCTCCCTCTACTGCAACCTATCGCCAGTTGTGTTTGTGACTTAGTACAGTAAAGATGTATTTCATAGCGCCATCTTTGTGTGCAATGCATCTGTGAGATCAGTTGCACCCAACGGAGGGTTAAGTTACATTACAGATATGATACAATATCCTTTAATATTTTTTACAAAAAATTGGAAATAAATACCCAATCAACATTAAATTTCCCAAAGCATTCCTAATGATATTGCATTTGATTGTTATATCTCTTGATGGTCTTTTCCTCCAGACTTTTGGATTTTTAAAGCAGATGTATATAAACAGGTGATGTGAAGAACAAAGGTTGGGAATATAGTAAAAAAGATGTAATAGTTATGTATGGTGCCAGGTAGGTACTACATATGGTGACAGATTTATTGGAGGGATAATTTCGTAAATTATATAAATGTCTAACCACTATGCTGTATACCTGAAACTAATATAATATTGAATGTTAACAGCAATTAAAAAAAAAAAGAACAGGCGTTCCAAAGAATTTTGTTAAATAATAATTTTAAAAATTACGAAACAGAAACTGTATTTAGAAAGTTTGTCAGCAGTTTTTGTGTGAGTAGAATACCCAGCATGGTGCTCTGAATGTACCGGGTCCTAAGCAGCCTTTGGTTTGTTTTCATTTGACATGAATATTCAAAACTCATCTGCATGTTTTTTTTAAAAAGATATTATTGAGGAATTGGGGGAGGGGAACAGACAAGTTGCTGTCCTTTTGTTCTTCAGTCTAGTTGAGGAGTACGTTGCTTCACTGGCCCATGTTGGTATTGTGATCATTGTGCTCTTCCCGGGTAAGGCAGATCGGTCGCCAGCCTCTGGACAGCTGCTCACGGCGGCTCTTGGCAGCTCACGATGGCTGCCGGCCGCTCACACTGGCTGCTGGCCACTCATGGTAGTTTATGGCAGCCCACTGCAGCAGGGGCTGCAGCCTACGCTGTTGCTGGCAACTCACAGCAGCCCAGCTCCAGGTCAAGCTGTTGTTCACCATATTAGCCGTAGAGGGCACAGCGTCAGTAGCCCTCATGTGGGATTCGAACCAGGGCCCTGCTGCTCAGAGCTGGCATCCCAAGCCAGCTCTTAACCAAAGCGCCACTCAGCTGGCCCTGCATGGTTTTTACCAAAGGTTTTTACTTCCTAATCTTACTTTCTTTTTAAAAGCATAAAATGAAACTATTTTACCTGTACTGGTAGGTCTGAAATAAACACTGGACTAACCAATATCTCTAAATGCCAATATGCAGGAGTATCTACACAAAACCTGAATTCAGTTTTTAGATTGTGTAATTTATGTGATGTGTACACACACACACACACACACACACACACACACACACAATTTTTGATAAAATCATAGCTAGAAGTAATATTAATTTTTGATCAAAAACTGACAAATAAGAATTTCGTTTCCTTAAGTTTAAAAGATAAAAGATTGCTTTTTCTTCATTTAACTGCAAGCCTTCATTCCTTGGGTCTAAAAGATTAAATTTATAATTCAGAATGGTCTTGTTTTTAGATGATGGAACATTTGTGAATCGTTGTCATACATTAGTGTGTTTTTACTGAGGTCCTGCTCAGCTAGGTCAGCCAACAGCTTATCTGTGAGGTTTATATATTCATCTCTTCATTCCTCAAGGTCAGTGAGTGCTGAGTTTGCACTGGAGAGAAATGACAGGGACATGGATGTGTGTCTGTGTATGTGAGACAGTGTGTGTCCTGGACAGCAGGAAGGATTGACTGGGAAGCCATCATAGTCATGTGATTTTCTTAAGAAGAGCAGGGGCCTCCAGCATCCTCATGATGCTTCAGGGAAGTCTTTATCTCCTTTCCTTAGCTCCTCCAAGAACCTTCCCCTTGACACACAGCAGGTGCTCTCAGAGTACAGCTAAGTACTACTTAATAAGCTGCCATACAGTAAGAATTCAGGGAATAAAGGAAATTCAGGGAATTCAGGAAACAAAGGAGAGAAAGAGGTCAAATTGCCAGAGAGCTGACATTCAAGGTAGTCTCAGAAAACCTTTTCTTAACATCGTTATTATACATCCCAAATATTTCATGTTATAAGACCTTTACATTTATCCTGGAAAGGATTGCCATTATTATTATTTAAATCCAACTCTATTTACCATTTGGAAACAAAGAGTGTATTGGAAGCAAGAATGTCATCCTGGTTCCAGGAACTTCATTCATCATATGACACCCTTTAAAAAGCCCCAAGGGACATTTCCAAAGTCACTAGGATCTGTACCATCTTTTACAGTGTCTTCTTCCCATTGTATGTGGCCATGGCAATAGGCTATAATAATAAAGATGACTAAAAATAGGAAAGTAAGAGTTTGTTTTTATTAGTACCTGGATTAAACGGCTATGTTTGGATCATTATAGTAAGTAGTAAGCTTATGTATAATATATTTGAGTTTGTGCATGTGTATGTATGTATTGGATTGTCGGAAAAGTCATGACGCATTTTTGCAATGAACAACAGAAAAAATACGTCATGACTTTTCTGACAACCCAATCTATAATTTGGAATTATCAACGATAGCAAGTCTTACTACATTATAGGACTAAAAAAGGAGATTTTACCATTTACCATTTTAACTGCAGTTAAAAGGAACTTTTTGTAAAGCCTAAGGAAAAGAAAAAAAAGATTTTCTGCTTTAACAGAATTTCAAAATACTTCTTTCCATAGAGATATTATAGCCTGATGTTTTATTATTAGTGCTTTCTGACCCAGGCACCAATTATATAGTTCAGTATGTCAATGACCCCATTTTCAGTATTGGACAACATTTTTACATGCTTGTTTAAAAACAGAAATGTTTGGGTTTGCAACACATTAGGGATACTGCTTCTGAAGCCTCTAACTGCATTTGATTACATGTTAACATAGTCATTTTGCTGTCAGCAATAGTTGAACACTCTTGTGCAAACATATGCCTGTCTTTAGTACAAAACGGTTCTGAACACCATTTAGCACAAGAGCTCTTGGCTCATTTCTATGTCCATGTAAGTTTGTTTCCCATACCTCCGATCTTGGCGTTGAAAGCAATTCCGACTGTACAGTGCGAGTTGTTTGCTGCGGCTGCCACTTCTCCAGCACAGCGGGTCCCATGCCTGCAGGGAGAACACACATACATTCTAAAGTAAGACACTCCATTCTCACAAACTCAACACATCATTGCCATCACTCAGACTTCCAAGTGGTGAAGAATGCAACAAGCTAAGGGTTTTTCCTACCCAAGTAACAGTCTGTCCAATTTTTAGCACTTAATTTTACTGTTTTGGATTATACTCTTGATATATTTATTTTTGATATCTTGCTTTTCCAATCAGAAAATCTCCTTGAAGGCTAAAATGGAACTGAATGCTTCTTTGTATTCGCTAAACCACCGCTGTCCAATATGCTAACCACCAGCCATATATGATTATTGGGTACTTGAAATGTGGCTAGTGTGACTTCATCTTAATTTTTAATTTAATGTACTTTAAACTTAAAAAATAGTACTCAATTCAATTATTAGAAAATTTTAAAATGTAGGTATGAGACTACTTTTTAAACTGTAAATTTAAATACAGATCAAGTATCTCCAGTGGAAATTTATCATCTAAAATGGGATTGCTGTAAATATACACTGGACTTCAAAGATTTTTATATGAAAAAAAACATGAAATATCCCATTAATAATTGTTTTATACCAATGACATGTTGAAAAATCTTATTTAATAAAATATATTATGAAAAGTTACTTCAACTTTTTACTGCTTTTTTCTAGGGCTAACTAGAAAAAAATATTATTTTCTGAAGGATATTCCGTTATTTCTCGTTACAATAACAATGTTCCCTGGTCAGAAAAATGTTTTAGCTGAAAGTATTTCTAAGATCATGTTACCCAAAGATGGCAAAGAACTTGCAAGTGTAACAGACAATCTGCCTAGAAATAGTGGTTTAACACAGTGTGCTGAAAAGAACTCTAAGCTTTGGCTGAGTCCAGAGAAAGAATGCTAAGACTGATGACTAACATCTGCCCTGGCTGACAAACACAACCATTATGGTGTACTTGTCATTACCACTGAAGTCCATTGCCCAATTCCCTTCCCTCATTTTTAGAGATGAGGGCACTGAAGGAGGCACTGATTTGTAAAGAGATCTGTCAAAAGCAGCAAAACAGTGACTAAAACTCAGGCCCCAAAATTCCATTGTGGTGCCTTTTATTTTTCAGCACAGGTGCCTCAGACCACACTTGTCGTGGGATATGACTACTGTCTGTGTAATCATAAAACAAATTAGTGCTTACAACTGATAGGTACACAAGTTTACATAAAAGAGATATTATATTCTTTTTCCACTTAGTAATATACATATAATATTTTTATGTAACTATTAATCTATATATAATTTGAATGCCTGGTATTACACTACATAATCTTTCAAAATGGTATATATGTGTGTGTATGTATGTGTATGTGTATGTGTGTGTGTGTGTGTGTGTGTGTGTGTGTGTGTGCGTGTGTGTGTGTGTGTGTAATTTTATGCCTTGGGACAAATTCCTAGCAGTGGAATTACTGAATCAAAGAGTACAGAATATGCTGTCAAACTATTAACAGATAAAAGTAATATAATCAAACACCAAAAGACTCCAAGGTTAATATTACTACAAAACATCAAATTTTTGTGCATGACAAAAAAAGACAGATCATAAGCCAAGTTGAATGACAATATAAACAGAGTAAAATCTGAACAAACCCGTGTACATAACCTTTGTATGAGTTTTTCATTCTTGACAATCTGACATGAAAAATGTTATCTCATTTTTGCTTCCCTTTGTAGCCCCTCTGATTATGTACATCTTTTCAAATATTTATTAGCTATTTCTATTTCTTGCTTTGTGAATAATGTTTTCATGCCCTTTGCCCAAATTTCTTATTGCCTTCCAATCATATCTGTTACATATACTTGTACGTTTCCAAATTTGTTATTTAGAACATAACCATCTTATTTATGGCAACTTTAGGTAGTCATACACAGCACTTAATTTTGATGTACTCATAATTATCTTGCCCTTGTGATATTTGGTTGTGCCATTTTAATCACAGAAAAATGACACATTTTTACAAGAGAAAACATTTGTGAAACCCAAGCTAAAATACTAATTTTCCCTTAATCCTAACAGTTATTTATGATGATTCTTCATTAGGCTCTTACTGCATATTACTTCATGGTGTAAGTTATTTTTATTCAAATGTCAAATTCCTTTTATGAGTCCATTGTTCTTATACTTTATTGTATCTATTTTAATTAATTCAAGTGCTACTGGGTTTCTGTTTTTAATTCTGCTCTAGTTTATTCTTTGGCCTATAGATTATTTAGAAATATGATTTAAAAATTTCAAATATACTTGAGTGTTTAATTCTGTTTTTGATATCAATAACTTGATTACCTTGTGATACGAGAATATAATTTTTATGAAGCAACTGTTTGAATTTTGTGACTCACACAATGGCTAAGTATGTGATCAATTTTTATAAATGTACCATGTGCTCGAAAGGATGTATATTTTCCATTTGTTCTTTGTAAGTCCATTATGTCAAGCTTGTTCATTATATTGTGAGTTTAATATTCTTTGCAGTTCTGTGAATTTTTACTTTATTAAAAGTGGGACTATTATCTATCTAGTGAAACAAACCATTCATGAATATGTAGTAACACTCTATGGCTCTAAGATAAAAATATCTGGTTAATATTTAATTTATTTACCTGTTTGCTCCTTTTATGTTCAGACATTATGTGTTCATATTAGTTGTATCTGTTAAAAATAGAATGTAATTGTTTTTCAAGCTAGGTTAACTATCTTTGTCTTTAAGTTGATAGTCCATGTACAGTAACTGTCTCTATTAATATATTCATGTTCATTTCTGTGTATTTTCCAATTTACTAGTTTGAACGTTATACATTCTATTATTTAGTGGTTATCCTAGGTATTTGATCATGGGTACCTAATATCACAAAGTCTAGAGTTATCAATACTTTATTCAACCTTTTCCAAACAATACAGACTTTAGAATGTTCTAACTCTGATTGCCCACATCTTGACACATGAGTCCCCATGATTACAGCTAGTCACTGGATTTTTTAACACTAGAAATTAACCATGACTGTTACTACTTTAAATATCAGTGTTTGTTTAGATTTAAAAATGCATTAATTTGCTTTATTTCCTTCTGTAGCTCATACTTCCTTATGGAATCATTGATTTCTTTCTGAAGAACATTCTATTATAAATGTACCCGTTGGAGAATCTTTTCATAGCCCAAAGTCTTTCAGCAGCCTCAGAAAATGACTTTATTTTACTGTTGTTTTTGAAAAATAATTTCTTTGGTACAGAATTCTAGACTAACAGCATTTCAAAGATGCCACTCCACTGTTGGCTGGCTCCCATTATTTCTGGTAAGAAATCAGCCATCTTGGCAATCTAGCTCTCTCTGAATGCTTTTCAGATCTTCTTTGTCTTTTCTATTATGCAGGTTCATTAAGAAATGTCCTTTGATAGATGAGTGGATAAAGAAGTTGTGGGGTGTGTGTGTGTGTGTGTATATATATATATATATATATATATATATATATATATATTATATATGCAATGGAATACTATTCTGCCATAAAAAAGATGAAATACTGCCATTTACAACAACATGGATAGATCTTGAGATTATAATGTGAAGCAAAATAACTCAGAAAAAGTAGAGATTTCACTGATACGTGGTATATAAAACTGAAAACAACAAAAGAAGAAGAAACGCAAAATGAAGAAACAAAACTCACTGACACAGAATAGTTTAGTGGTTACCAGAGGGTAAGGGGAGTGGGTGGTGGTAGATGAGGGTAAAGGGGATCAAATATATGGGGATGAAAACAGAAGTGACTCTGGGTGGTGAACATACAATGTGATATATAGATGATGTATTACAGAATTGTACACCTGAAATCTATGAAACTTTGCTAACAATTGTCACCCCAATAACCTTAAAAAAAAAAGTTGTATATATGCATTTAAAAACATTCTTTCATGGAATTCCTAAACCTGTAGTTTAATGTTTAAATGTGCAGAATTCTTAGGTATCATCTTCGAAAACTGCTTTCACATCATTTTCTAGTTCCTCCCATCGGAACCCCAATTAAACATACTTGTACATTAGACCTTTCACACTATCTTAATCTTTAATCTCACCTTCAGGCTTTCCTATCTTTCTCTCTGTGGACTGCATTCTATGTAATTTGCTCAATTCTATATTTCACTTATTCTATCTTCAGCCATGACTAATCTGCTATTTAATGCATTTACTGCATTACTCATTTCAATTATTACATGCTTCATTTTTTTGAAATTATTTTTCACATGTTCCTGGTTAATTCTGATACTTTGTCTTAAAATACTTTTCAATATTCATGTCTTGATACAAATGAATTACGTGTGTGACTCTAAATATTAAAATATGTGACACTAATTCTGCTTTCTGTTTTTGCTGCTAGCTTGTTTCATGGTGATAGTTTTCCCCATGTGGCTGGTGAATTGTCCATTTAGGAGGTCATGTTGTTTGGGCTTTTATCTGGGCGAACTCTTTCAGGCTGGTATGGAAAACTCTTTGTTCTAAAGAAGAGTTAAATTTGTTTCTATCACATATCTGGATGTATGCCAACCAGGACCTGTTCAACCAAATTTAAAATTTGGGCCATACAAGTATATGAATTACAGGTACAAATCTAGTGAGTGCAGAGGGTAATTCTGAAAGGGTAGTTATTTATTTATCTGCTTGTCCCATCTATTACATAGGTTGAAAAGTCAAATATGTTCTCTAAGTAGGTTTTCTTTTTTATAGTTAATGCACTGAATATGGTGCATCAAGGATTGTGTTTTATGCAGAAGTATTCTCTCACCCCATTTGCACCAACGTCTTAATCTCCTGCCACCCCTAGGCTTTTGAAAATCCAGCTCCAGACTGGCTTGGATTGGTTGCTCACCCTGGCAAATACCTATTTACCTATTGACCACCTAAGCTTATAGATTTGAGTTTTCTCAGAGAAATACTCTTGGTGTCCCAATAGCTCAACCATGCAC